TCATTTTATATCAAAATTTGAAAAAAATCGGTCAAGTAGTTTCGGAGAAAATGCGCGGACGGCGGGCGGACAAAAAAATTTGAATTCGTTTTTCGAATTCTACGCTTCCTGAAACGTGGAACCTCAAATTTTGAGAGGGGGTTAAATTTTTGAATTTTTTGGTCGATCACAATGGTTGATTATTGAAAATAATAAACCAAAATGAAGTAAATAAAAATTGAATCAATAATGACTGGAAACTATAAAAGAAAAAAAATATATTTTCATTGTAAACTGAAAAAGAAAATAATGATTTAAATATAAAAAAATTATTAATCGAAAGTTAGGTATTTTGTTTAATTTTTTTTTTTTTTTTAATGATATAATATATATATCTTAATAAGGGTCCTATAATAAATAAAAGAATCATTGCGTGATCAAGTAAAAGTGGTATCGACAGTTCACGGGGACATCCTGTTTGTAATTCAGCTAATTTGGTCAGAGCTGGAGATATATCATTAACCTATTTTTTGTTCTTTGTGCCTAAAAACGTAGTTACATGCTCAACTATTTTATTCTACGATATACCTAGTAAAATAAAGAAATATGATGCTGCATAAAAGTAATAATATTTATTTAATAAATATTAAATAAAATTAATAAATAATAAAATTTAAAAAATAATGTGCCATGTATCATAATTATCCCTTACTGACTGTTATCACTAAAGAGATTTTCATAGCTATTTATAGTTGTTTGGCCCTTGGAAAGATCATGTTGTAGAGTTTTCACACTTAAGTACTAAGTGTTTGTAGAAATATATTAATGATCGTCAGATCGAACCTGAATGATTAATGTTAAAAAAAAAAAAATGAAAGATTCAAAGAGTAAAAAATATATGAAGCCCGAGGCAGGAATCTTAGTTATTTTTAAACGAAAAAGAAAAGAGTGGTTATTATTACTAAAGTAAACAAGCCATAAGTTGACGACATCATTTATTTTATTTACTAATAAAATATTTTTGGTTTGAAAACGTTTTGGTTTTGTTTATTTATTTTTTTGCTCTAATAAGGTTTAAGACCATTAAAATAATTTCCTCCCCAACACCCATCTTTTTCATGTTATCGATCATTTATATTTTTTTTATTTTCTAATAAGTCACAAACGAATTCAGCTATAAACTGTTTACGTGATAAATATTGCTACAATATTCCAAATATAAATTTATAATTGTATTAGTCATTATTTATTTATTTAAAGCTCTGATGTGATTTTGATATTCCTCTTTTTATTGGAGGAATACCAAATATTCTATTATCCACGTATTTTCGTACTGCTGTTTTAATAATATTGTCGAGAAGTGAGGGGACAGAAATTTATTTTATGAATTCTTAGAAAACCATTAAACTTTCTTCTAATTAAACTAATTAACTTTATTTTTTAATAACAGAAACATGAATGATATTTTATTTCATAATAATCTGAAAGTTTCACTGTTTAAGGTCAATAAAAAATTAATTAAAAAACTTCGAATTATTGTTTGAATCAGTTTGAAGTAATTAAAATACCTTAATTACTTTTTAAAAACTTTTTTAAAATTTATTACTCTTAATATATTTTATTTATGAAACAAGATCAGATTTATTCATTGAAATAATCAGGGTTGATAATAAAATTACAACAAAAAAATGTTTCCAATTATAATTCTGTGTAATAAATTAATTTAAAAAAAAAGGTTGATAGTAGACAACAAGATCTACAAAAAGCCCATGATGTAAACAATTGTTAAATTTCCAACAGAAAGGTAGGAAATTTAAGGTCTGTGTTTTTTTAAGCGTCAAATGTTTTGTTGAATAGAAAGCGATAACTCAAAAAAGATCTAATTTAAGTAATTAAACATTACTCAATAGTAAACCAGACAAAATTTAATTTAAAAGAAAGTAGAGTTTGTCATTGTTAATGTTTTGCATCAGTAATGTCATATTTATTACAGCTGAACATTAAAAGGATATCTGCTTGAATAAGAGAAATCGAAGCCGATTTTCTTATCTTCGTATTTAGCGCTATAAAATTATTTTGAACAATCAGCTGTTCATTATTAAAAGGGTAAAGGTGGCTTTCGTACACAATTCGAATCGGTACTCATGAAGACACATCACCTAGCACTTGAGTACTCTTTCATAAGAGTACAATCGGACGGTGACTGGGCGATATATTGTGCCTCAGCTCATTGATGACTAGCTCCCATTTAGCAGGCATCAAGATGATCATGATCCTCTCTTGGTGATTGCCCTCATGAGCGGCCTAGGTAATTATTCTCAACGGTTCATTGATGATTCTCAACGGTTCTTGTAATGGTTTTTAGACCGGGCTCAAGTATTTTAGTGTTGTTTTTTTTATAAACAGAGGATATATAATTGAAAATTTCCATTCTGTTGACGGCATAATATATGAGCCTTTCAGTTGACAGAATGATTAACTCCAATTTCAACATTTTTTAATTATTTATTTTATTTATTTATTTTTTTTTTTTGTTTAGTATTATAACAATCTATCTCTTAGACATTGGTTATAGTACAAAAAATGTAAAAGAAATAGAAGCAAAATAATAATCAAAAGTATATACAATAAATAATAAAATAAAATAACTTAAAATAAGAAAATTAAAACTAAGGAAAAAAAAACACAATTCATATTTCTAGTTGGAAAATTTATACCTTTATTCACAGTTATATATTTCAACACAGCAATAACCTAATCTAGAATCAACTTACACACAGTCAGTACAAATATTATAAATTTTCCACTTATCACTGAAATGACATTACTCAAAAATGTTGAAGTTGGTCATTCTGTCAACGAAAATAATAATATTAATAAAGGGATCGAACAAAATATTTATTGATATATATTCGTATATTAACTGAAGATGTTTGAACAACTATTTAAAAACAACAACATTATATTATATCCAGATAAATTCGAACCTAGAAATCCTTACGATGTAATGAATGACCCGATAATAAACAAATTTTTATCCACCGTGGTCTAATTGGAGTCCGGTCGCTGGGAAGTATTTATTATGTTATATTAGCCGAGGACGGAATTAAAGGATTGTGCCAAATTAATAAATTTTGTTTATTGTTAATAAACGAAAAAACATTGTTGTAGGATTAATAGCAGACCTGGACAAAAATTATTTTATGATACTTTGCTCAAAATATCAGGTATTCTGTGTTCCTAAAATACAGTTTTAATCACCAAATATTTAACTTCTTTACAGAAGTACTTTGTATTTGAAAATTAAATAATTCAGTGAAGTGATTGGAATACCAGGAATTATTTGAAATTGAAATACTGGAATTGAAATACCAGGTGATGAAAATTGTGTTTAAAAAAAACAAAATAATTTATGTATTTTGAAATACTTTTCGCTCAGTCCTGATTAAAAGGAGCCGCAAGACTATTTAAAAATGTAATAATAGAGTTATGAAAAATAAGAATTAATTTTTATATTTATAAAAAAAAAACTGAAGTTCAACCAGTTCCTCTTGCGCTCGATATCCCCCTTAAATATCGAAGTTGTGTGCACGCATATTTTTATATTCCAGCTTAATTAGTTTTGTTCTGACTGAAGAAAAGTATTAGTCTCGTTAACTCCGAATAAACAACAAGTTGAATTTTTTTATGGATTTTCTTGTTCCATCTATTTTACGATTGAAAACATACCTACTAAGTATATATTACTACTATTAGTGCATAAGGTCGTATGTAAACATTTTCAACTTTTATTCTATTTGTGCTAAAGGAGACATTTTGTAGTCTGCAAACTGATATAAGTAGTCTGCTACTAAGGAAAATAAAAGCATAAAGAAATAATTAGTTTTTGTGTTCACTTGTAAAACAATCAATTTTTACATACGACATTTTGCACTAACAGTAGTGATATGCATGTTCAGTATTCATTGGTTTTTTTTTTTTTTAATTAAGAATCATCAAATATAGAATCTTCAAATATGACACCCTTTCGCAAAATCCGCGAATGTTGAAGGGTAAGTTTATTTCCGAATCGGCTTCTACAGAGTTCTTATTCTCATACGAAAAATTGTGTACCTTTTAATATAGATATATTTTAGCCAATGAAAACGGTGAGGAAGTTATACTGACGTTGGCAGACGTTTTTACTTAGCTTGTTGCCACTTCCAATGAAAGTGGAATAAGCTAGATAAAAAAAAATACAGTTTCAACATATTTGTAGATACTTCCATTATATTCCTATGTTTAGATGGTATACATGCTTTCAGTATACGATTACTTCCGGCTCACCACACATATTTATCCTATATCTCTCTCAACCGTTTGTTTGATTTGATTGTTTAGCGTGAAAACAGAATGTTTCTGTTTCCTGTATTTCTATCTCTCTATTATATAAAAAAGTTTAAAGTGACTATGTCATATTTTATTTTACACATACAAACGGGACGGACCGGAACGAAGACATTATTAATTAAAAACAAGAATAATTCTTATTCCCAGAATTATTTATCCATTGTTATGGTTACAATAAGATTTGCAATAAGAATAATTATAACTATATAATAATATAATTTGGCAATAAGGCGCGATGTACAGATTTTTAAAAGAATTAAAAAATTATCCAAACTGTGATATAGTTCCGTTTATTTTAAGTCGATAAAAACAATAAAATCTGAATTACAGAATACATGTAAATTATAGTTATAAAATTTGAACAACGAGTACTACAGTTAAATGAACAGTATATAGTTTGTAAAATGGGATTTGGTCCGCCGTCTGACGTACAGCAGGTATCCCATAGTTTATAAATAAAAATAAATATTTTGAAACATTAAAAAATATAAATATCTTGCGTAATGTGTATTGTTACTCTTCTTATAAAAACACAGTTTATTATTTTGATGAATATAGTTTATTAATGCTATAAATACTTTTTGTACGATGAATTATGGCATAGCCGTTTTACCTTTTGCCAAATGTCATAGGTTCTCTCCTCTTGGGAACCCTTTTAGGTGGTGTGGTGACGTTTGGGACACTGGCCTACCTGATGACCCGAACGGGGGACAAGAACGGAGTCTTCAACGTCCTCCGCGGTATGCTGAAGAAGAGGCTCTTCGGCGGGGAGCAGCAGTCCGAGTCATCGAGGTCCTCGTCGGCCTTCTTCCCGGATCTCAAGAACCCGAGGAAAACATTCTTTGACGATCCCACGTTCTTCGCCAAAGTTGAATAAAGGGTTTTAAAGCATCGTTTTGTATTATTTGTATTTGTATACGTTTTAAGATGCTGAAAGATTTAGGTTTACTGAGATTCGATAAATTATATAATGACCTAAGACCACAGAGACATATTTGAAGTTGGCATAAATCATAGTCAGATGAGCAATGTTCAAATTTTAGCTTAGCAATAAAAGAATTTAAAAATATGGAATAAATTATATCCCCATATTAATATTATTTAAAAAAAAATGTATTTGTATTAATATGTCTATATAATGATTAAAAGATATGTGATCATGTTTTTTCCTTCAAGAAGAAACGAAAGATATGAATTTAAATTCGTTTCTGTCATTATTAAAGCAACACATTTTGATACAAAATAATTGTTAAACATTTTGTTGGCTAATTCGATTTAATATAAAGTTATTTCTCTAGTATTATAAATTTTAGACTCTAACCAAAACGAAGCCATAAATATAAAACAGTTTTAGATTATAACTGAAAAATATATCTCAGTTTGGTCATAGAGTTATTATAGTCCGTGGTACAGACCCCTTTTTTAAAAATCAAATTATTTACATTAGCCGCCTGAAACTTCGTGTATAACTTCATCTCATCGTAGGCTACTAATGTTTTATTTACGAAAACTCTTGGAATTGGTCCATTTTTAATCTGGAGACGGGCAAACTTTGTCTATTTCATTGGGCACTAAAGACTCGTTAATACCCATTTGCTTTTCACTAAATCGAGAAAAAAGATGGCCTACAAAAATATTAGGCCGTTTGGTCTGTGCAACCTTGTTATTTTGACATTATGGATGTGTAGATCACGTCAAATGACTCAATGTTTTTGGAGGCCACCTTCTTTTTCGATTTTTCGCTTTAATTATTTTACGATTCAAGTAGAAAGCAAATGCGTATTCACGAGTTTTTAGCCCCTAATTAAATAAAGTTTGACGAGCTCCAGATTGAAAACGCCCCAATTCCAAGAATTTTCGTAAATAAAATAGTTTTCGGTTATGAAGAGATGAAGCTATTTCCGAAGTTTCGGGCATTTGATAAAAAGGGGTCTTCACCTCGGAATATTAAGTTATATGTAGCAGATAGGGTATCGATCGTTTTCAAATATTCTCGATATTTTTGATCCTCGAACGAATGCTAGCAAGATAAACATTGAACTCAAGTCTCAGATTTTAAATAGCTTTAATATCAACAATTAAATATTTATACATTGCTTATCCAAAAAGTATCAATTGGTAAACAATTGTCAATGAAGAAAACCAAAAACTTATTTTTAGAAACAATAAATAGATAAAATCAGTTAAATAGTTTAAACTTAAAAAAAAGTTAAAATTATAAAGGCGTATTAATTAAATCGCTTTACATAAAAAATGTGTATCTATATAGAAAAATAAAAATTGAATTAATAGTGACTGAAACCTATAAAAAAAATTTTCATTTTAATTTTTAAAAAACAACAACTTATTACTAAGTTATAAAATATGAACTAATATTTCTAGCATATTGTGTAATACGCCAAATGAGGCGGCTTTTCTTAAAGGCATTTTAAATATTATTGTGTTTGTTTGTTTATTAATTTTTTTTTCGGAATAAATCGATTTTGGTCAAACTTCATTTTTAATACCAATATAAGAATATGAAAATATCGATAAAATATTTATATATAAAATAATAAATTTCGATACATCGATATTTTTACTTGCCTACAACCCTCAGGCTTCGTCTTGGTCTACAACATGGAGACAAATTACCTTCTACCAATTGTGACATAATATGTGGACATCTCCTGAATACCTTAAAATCAACATAGGAGTTGATTCTGTCTGATTTCAATTTAATATGTTTTGCTTTAATTTATTTTAATAAAATCCATACCTCTACTCATCTTTAGCGTAATGGATTTTAAAGCAATGGATTATAGCTTCTTTGATGCTTGATTATTAATTATTTTCCCCTATGAATGCGCCCTTATATTTCTAAAAATTATTTGTGCTAAGAAAAATTTAAATATGTTCAACGATATTTTAAATTTTGTTCTTGAGCGTATGCTACTTGTTTCAAGGAACAATATTTTTTTTTAAATGTATAAACGTCCAAGGAGGAATCTTGTCGACAGTAAAAACTAAGGTCAAACTGAATCAGAGTTTTAATTTGACTGTGGCACTCTGCCAAGGATATTGATGCCATTTCTCCAAAAATATCCGCCAGGTACTTGGGGGTTTCGAAGGTTCGGAATGTCCTGTAATACCTGAGGACGTAGCCGTAGCTCGGCAATGTTCTAATCGGGAACGGCCTTATTCGAAAAAACTCATTGGCTATATAGAATAGAATAGAAAATTAAGCTGAAAATTAAGTTCCTTTAGAATAACAATGATGAGTTAATACAAAGTAAAGTACAAATCTGGCCAAAAACTAACTTCTAAAAATTTTAATATTATATACATTATTTAAAAAGTATGTAACCAGTAAAAAATAAAATATATATACAAATGAACATAAAATCTTCTCAAAATTACTTAATTGTGATGAAAAAAAAAAAAAGAGAAATTACATATTTATATATACATAACTACACAATATATAAACAATAGGCTATCTAATAGAAAACTAACTTAATACAAAATGTAATAATATCTACAGTGATTTATATAATAATATGCAGATACTAAGATAAAATAAAATCTTAGGATTACTTGTGCTGTAATGGAAAAAAAAATAAATAAAAGGAACTATTTATACGTACATTCTCATATTGGCACATAGAAAGACAAAAAGTATAAAATATAAACATATATACCCGAAAGAAAAAGCACAACCTGAGGAGAAGAGAAAAAATAAAATAAATAGTAAAAATAATAGTCAAACTAGGTGACAAAGATCATTGCTGTTTTATGTTAAAACTTAAACAGTAGGCACCACCATTTACTTCAAGCAAATTCAGTTCATAAAATGAAATTTATGATGGTAAATCTTCTGTTTGGGATGTAAGGAGATATTGGAAAAGGAGGTATTTGAAGGTTGACAGTGAAGAGGCATGACGGATGTTATGTGGCAAAGAATTCCAGTAAGAGACGGAGCGGGTTAAGAAGGAACGTTCAAAGGTTTTTGTCCTGTGGAATGGAATATAGAGGTCAGAAACACGGGTTCTCGTTTTTATTGAGTGGACTAAGGGTTTAGGCTGGAGGAGACAACAGATATAGGAAGGGTGCTGGGAGTTGATCGATTGGTATAAGAAATTTCCATGGAAGTAAGGAAGGAAGGCGGCGGGAAGAGCCACTTTGACTCGGCATATATATATATATATATAATATAAAACTAACTATAATTAAATATTGAAGAGAAGGATGGTTGAGGTGATCAGTCAGAAATAAATGAAAAAATTAAATTAACGAAAACTACTTTTAACAACATTATTGGTCTTTGACGAATATGTGCTATATATGATACAAACAAGGAACAATATTGCCATCCCTAAATAATGATTTATCCCTTTTAAAACTTCTTGGAATTTATTTGATTCTTGTTCATCTTCAAGTCAGTTTTGGTACTAAAAAAAATACAGTTATTGCAACTTTCTCTCTCATATCAACTACTATTTTATAAATTGATCTATGCCATAAATATGAGAAGGAATTAGTCGAGGGTGCGGTCAAAAAATAAAAAAATTAAAATATATAAATAATTTTAATTTTTGCCGACGTTTCGACCCACTTTGCAGGTCGTCTTCAGGGCGTTGGATGTGGCACTGCGGGAGGCGGTTGAAACACTCACTTGTGAGTGTTTCAACCGCCTCCCGCAGTGCCACATCCAACGCCCTGAAGACGACCTGCAAAGTGGGTCGAAACGTCGGCAAAAATTAAAATTATTTATATATTTTAATTTTTTTATTTTTTGACCGCACCCTCGACTAATTCCTTCTCATATCATATCAACGGTCAACCATCTCTACATCATTATGCCATAAATAATGCATCAACATCATCAAATGTATTTCATACAGTAATTATATTGTTAAATCTTAGAAAAAGTCAATTTACTAAAAAAAGTCATATTTCACCACATCTATTTTATTTTTTGATGAAATTTCTTCATGTTCGTATCGAACAAGTCATGTTTTAAGAATATTTTTTATATTTCCATTACGATATTTTTGATCTTCAGTAACATTTTTTTTTCTTTTATGTTCATTAAATTTCTATTCTAAAATATATTCCATAAATAGTTCATAATTTTTCATTAATTAATATGAACTAATCATTTCCCTAGCTAAATTGTAATAGGTTTATAAATTATTAGTTTATAAATGAAGAAAATTAGTGTTTAATAAATCTTGTTTTCGGCTTAGCATTGTAACATTCTTCAAGATGGGTAAGGATGTTAACATGTTAGCCCGAAACGTCGTAAAATTCAATAAGAATCAAATAAAGTGGAAGAAGTTTTATTTTAATTTAATAATTATTAAAGTTTAAAGTTTTATTATAATTTAAAGTATTGTTATTTTTCTATGATGATTATGTTGTAATAATATAAAAATCCATTTTTTCCACAAAACAAAAGGTTTTCGTATTTATAAAAAAATAAATTTTTTATTTGTGCTACATTGGTATTTACAACATACGACAATGTGAAAATATAATAAAATAATTGTGTGCTTATTGGGCAGTTGATGCAGCGAATTTCATTTCTGTAAATAGAAATATGTATAACTGTCATACTTATAAATACTGTAAATGGTTCTTTTTTTGTTTTTAGTTTTAAAACTGATAATAATAAAAAAGATAATTTTGTTTTATAGTAAGAAATCAGAGAAAATAATCTTTTGTGACGAGATATGTTATATCTATTGGTCTGGTCATTGGGGAAACCCCGATAATTTTTATCACACAAGTTTTAAACCCCATCTTAGTTCATATCAGAAATGATATTGAGAAAACATTACTGCTAAAATTAAAAAAAAAAAACAGAAAAAAAAGAGCTTAATGCTGAAGAAATATTCAAAATGGAATACCCAACAAATACTAAAGAACCAAGATTTGACAAATTTAAACCAGTCTCCAAAAAAAAAACCAAAAAAAAAAAAGCAGAATTATCGTTTTCCCC